ATTTCTTTCCCCAGATGCTATTTTTAGAGAGTTTAATGAGGATTTATCAGAATTATAGTCATTACGGCTACCAGCAGCTGTATTTTAATCCAAGTTTTCACTATATGTGTAAATTTTGAATTCTGCTTAGTGGGCTTTTTTAGGGCAGTTAAGACTGTAGCTTGCATTGTACATTTTGAAAGCTCAGTGCCAAATGGATGTAACTCCTTCATTGTGTAATATGAGTTACAGCTGTTTCCAACTTAAACTTCGATTTCTGTCTATGAGAAGCTATCTTGAGCTAGCTTACATTTATGAACATCGGTGGTTCTAACTTAAGTGCAGTGCATGACTTTTTTGTATGTGCCTGAAGTAATGCACAGAAGCGCACCTGAGGTCACCCTCCACAAGTAAAGCATATGTCACCTATACTGTGTTGGTATGTCACGTAAAACCGAACCAAAAAGAAAAAAAAATCTATGAACAGACCCAGTCACTCGGGACTGCATGCAATATTTTCAATTTTGCTGTTTTATGTGGTCTTTAAGTTAAGGATTCTATTTTTGACCACTTTAGTTATTTGATTTAAATTTTATTTTACACAATCATGTATATATATATATTTTTTTTTCTTTCTGGAATTCAATCTTTGTAGTTTTAGTATTAAGATTTAAGAGTTAATTTGAAAATTATTATAAAGTTATATATCTCAGATCATATTCAATGATTTTATTTCTGATTTGAATTTTGGACAAATGGTTAGTTTAAAGCCAGGTTGATGCAATTTTCAGCATTTTAGAGTTAAGCAGTGTATTTGTCATTGGATGTGAAGATTTGGTTGAGGGCAATATGAGTATGGCATTAAATGTCCTCTTTATTAATCATAAAGATTTCAAAAGATTTACATTAAGACATTGGCAGTTACATGTACTTGCCAAAAAGCCATATGGGCAAGTTAATTGTTTTTAATTGAATTACTGTTCATTTACTTACTGTGTAGCATGTTTTGGCCATATATTGCACAGGTTCAGTTTAATTATACTATTGCACAATTCTTGCTTTATTTGATCATACTTTTATGATGGGGACCAGTTATTTTAGAGGTTTTAAACTCAAGGAAATTAGTGGCTCTCAACCCAAGAAAACAAACAAATATACAATCATGTTGACTGTTTTAGTTAAATTGCAATTTATTTGCACTGAAGTGCACTGAGTTTTTGTAAAGTTAACGTCTGGTGTGAAACCAGTCTTATGTATTGAATTTAAAAATTGAAATGATAATCTTAATTATTTTAAAAGTATAAAAGTTTTCCGCAAAACTGATTAAAATATAGTGTCATATTAAGCTAGTAATACATTGTCTGGTTAAAACAGAAAGTACACATACTGGGGTATTTATATTATATGTAATTTTCAAGCTAGTTTAATTTGTGATTGATTACATAGGGTGGGGACACTAATTAAAGCACCTGAAGAATCGTTTAAATATTTACATTAAAACATGATAATAGATAGGCATAATATAAACCTATTGATGTGTAATTTATATCTTAAACAAAATTTTCAGTGAGCTTAAAACTTCATTATAACAATTTCATTTCATTTGAATGTCTATGTTTTGTAGCCAGTTGTTATGATTGTTGTTGCTAATGTTTGGTAAGAGTTCATAGCCAACATGTGCCTATGTTTTTACCAAAAAAAAAAAGGGATGTATTTTGCTTTATATGTTCGATGTACGATGAAAGGGGTATGAATAAAAGTGTGAATTTGGTTTGCATAGGAAATTCAATCACATGACATTTATCGAATATTAATTTTACTTTCAATGTTAAGTATTTAGAATTTAAATCAAAGGGTGGGTAGACATATTGATGGGATTTAAACTAAAGTGTAAAAAGACGAAGTAGATGCTTTTGAAATGAAATTGTGGATTTAGCGTTTAGAGACACAGTTTTAATCTCATATTGGATGTTATAAAATTATAAAAGTGTGTGTTTGTTTTGGAGTTAAGTAATTGATTTATTTTGTGTTTTAATTTAAGTCTTTTGCCAGGTCCTTCAAAAATAATTGTTGATGTCAGAAGGTTTATCCGGTGAGCAAGAAAGGGTATCTTGGCTAGCTTTTGTGAGCCAAGATTCACTTTTGCAGCCGTTGAAACTGGATAAACTCTCTCCATCCGACAACAACCATGTAATGGATTTGTCCTGCTTTTGTCTTTATTTTTATCATTTTAGATAATTTAAATGGTTTCCCTCTTACTTTTTACCGGACCATATTTTCAGAATCCTCTACAAAAAAATGGGATTAATTTACTTTAATTATGTGTATTTCTGGTGGCAACTAAATCTACCTGTGCAACTAGTGCAGTTCAAACAGTAAGCATGTCATTGTTTCATCATGGTCTCCACTGTTTACTATACAGTTTGTATATATTTTGAAATTTTCCTTAAATATAACTAATGGTTTAGTCTGGAGTGAAGGATCAATAAGCATTTTAATTCTTATTGCAGATACCATTCTAATTTAAGATTTGCTAACAATTATTAAAAGTTAAATTTCATTGCAGGGACCAGATTTGAAACAGTGCAACTGTATTTTATGCTATACAAAATTTAAAGATGTAATAAATAAAACGTCTCAGTTAGGTGACAAGTACTCTGATTGCCTGAATGTTCAAAATTTTTGGCCATCGAATAATTGAAAAAAACAAAAAAACAAACAAACATGAAATATTAAAAGATCATGCAACAGAAGGGATAAGTGTCTTTTTCTGCTTCTGGTCCCAATTGACTTCATTACATGTTCCACTTTGTTTAATGTGGCCAAGTGGTTATATAAGTAAACACTTCAAATCACTTGCTCCTCACTGCTGTGGGTTGGTTTGAATCCTGCCAGGGACTTTCGATTCTTTCTTGTGAGGAAGCTTATAATCCAACTAGCTGACAGAAAGGCAGTGGTTCTACTCAGGTGCCCACTGTTGCATGAAATGTTGCACCTAAGGGTTTTCCTGGAAGATCACCTGTGTTGCCTCCGGGTGTGATGTAAAATCCAACTCTGTGTTTAATTTTTTTTTAAATATTTTTTTTTTCATTTTAAAATGTTAAACTTTAGATTTCATTTTACCAGTATATATACAGTGTAAATCTATTTGTCACAATTCACTGAGGCATTCTGTTTTGTGTCAAAAGCATTTTGCAGGGGTATTGATCACCTTAAGGAGAGATAGTTTCTAAGTTTTGTGTTTAAAATTTATTATAAAAAACATCACTTTCAAGGGAAACGGTAATTATTTATTAACTAAATAGGATATTTTTTGTTGTTTACAATTTAAGAACAAAGAAAATCCATAAGTTAAGCTAATAAATTTTACACAGTGGTGGGATTTAGAGATCTGCAATAATAAATGAACAGTTTATGAACTAGCTTTAAAGGCCCATTATGCCCTAAAAAATACTATAATTTTTATTTCTCAAAATCTATTTATCTTGTTACAGTTGCCAAAATATATCTTTTGCCATATAGATGAATGAGCTTTTGGTTCTTTTGGTCTTTTGGCAATTGTTATAATAATAATTCCAATCTTTTGGCTGGGCAACTCCATTTTACACATCTGAAATCATCAAATGAAGGAACTTACCCATACTGTAACCTGCTAGAACCAAGTGATTAGCCTTTGCCACCAGTTAATACAGAGAAGCCACTAAGCCAGCATGCACATCTGTGCAGTGATCAGGCTGTATCCTGTTGGGAGCTCAATTTTTGTATTTCCTTTATCTTAAAATACACTCTTCCATATTCAAAGCAGGGCAAATCCATTTCACAAATTTAGGTAAAGGGTTAAATGATTAAGCATGCCCAAGGTGACAAGATTAGCAATATTCTCGGAGAACTCTTCTAATCTGAGAATTTCTGATATCCAATAAACTATTCGCAAGTCAGATCTAAAGGGGGTAATGTGGGACAGTGTCACTAGACTTTAAAGCCTTCTGTAATATACAGTCATGTATAATGGAGCTTTATTATTTAAACCAGTCCAATTTTTTTTGGTCTCAAACTGGATAATTTATGAACCAGTCTATTTTTGTAAACATTAATTTATTATCATGGAATAACTGTGCTCATACATAAATCAGAGGACTGAACCTTACAATAATGCAAATGAACTGTGATAATATTGAAGTTATAATAGTTATGCTCTGCAAGCCGGGGAACAGTTTCAGAAAGCTCGGGGATAATGGAGCGTGGAAAAGACAAATGGTGAAGTGCTCTGCTGGGGGAATACACTAATAGTTCTATAAATGAATTCATTTACGCAGAGAAAATGTCTTTTCTATGGGTTTTTGTCTTTTGTTGAGTTATAAAATTGGTTAGGGTGAACTCTATGCTTAGCAGGATCATAAAACATGCAGGACGTAATATGCAGTGGAATTAAAACTAGCTTTTGAGAATAGTGATGGGAATTTATATCGGCTTAAATGGAAATTGTGCTTTCTCTTTGTTGCATTTATTGAAGATTTGTCACACAAAACATGGAAGAGGTTCAGAACTCTGTGATGAAAGTTTGAAAGAAATATTGGCTACTAATAATAAATAATTGTTGACAGATATATGAACACTATTTGTCTGAGGTGTCTATGGAAATTGCTTGATAATCGTGAGGGAGCCAATAAGAATGTGGGTTCAAGAATCAACAGAATATCAGAAAAGTTGTTTTTTATAGCCAGAGCTTTAGTCTGCTTAATAACGTGTGTGATTATAAAAGGAACAAGTTAGCAAAACAGAGAATGGTTATAAAAGTGTGAACATACTTCATAAAGCAGGAGATGGTATAAAAAGTGTGAAGTAGAGAACGACATACTCAGCAAATCACTGATAGTTTTAAAAGTGTGAACATACTTGAATGCCAAGAATGGTAATAAAAGTGTGAACAAACTTGAATGACAAACACTCATATAGTATTTAATTGTTATGTTCACTAATTGTAACAACAATTATAACAATGGCTATGTATTTCTCTGCAGATATGATAGAGAGAAACAGTGTACAAGGAGTCCTAGATTATTTCCAGTGTTTAGGTGAGTAATAATAATACATTTTATTCTGTGAGGTTTGAAAAGTAATAATTTAAGGAAGATGTGCTTATAGTAGTTGGTGTCACTTGTAGAGAAATTGGTGATTACTGGTTAGTTATCCAGGACAGTTCTCATTGATAGGTGGGATGACCACCCAGATATGACCAAAAAATGTGCTAATATGGTGTGTAAGTAAAATTAAGAATAATCGGACAAACAGAAGATATGCTAATGACAAGATTCAATAAAGTTACATGGACAGTGAAGAATTTTTCTTAAACTTTCTTAAATTGGTTATGAAATATTTGTTAAACTGTATGCAAATATACAAAAGTAATCACTGACTTTCTTATCTGACTTTCAAGTGTAACGATTTATGTAAGCTCTTTAACAATAATTGTGTAACGTTTCCTAGAAATTGCTCATTTCCAAACTAAGCAGCTGAATCTATAAATAGAATATTCCTTGCAATGAAATGGAGGAATTAAGATACTTAGTGCGATAATGCATTTGTTGCTATTATTCTCACTTGTTCGGAAATATTTCAGGTATTCATTTACGAAAAGAATCTGAGAAGCAACAAAGTATACCACGGTTATCCTCGGCTTCTAAACGGAAATTACGCAAGCGCCGTACTCATGGAATTCGAAGTGCCAACTCGGTTGTTGATCATCCGTCAACTGCACGACAACTTTCAAGATCTCACCCAAAACAGGAAAAGCTGATAGCCCCGCCTACTCCTGTTCGAAGTAAGAATTGTTTTGTTTAAACTTGACTGTTTTAACAAAAATTGTTCCAGTGAGATGAACTAAAATTGTTCCAGTGAGATGGAAGGTTGCTTCTTGTCATTAACCAGTTCTGCCATCATAATTTGTCACCTTAGTGAAGTAATGGGTTAACTTCTATTAAATTATATACTGAGTTAACCTGTTACTCCACTAAGTTAGTTTATACAAATTTATATTAGTTTGATTGTGTTGAAAGCTATAAGCTTATTTAAACACATTCAAATCCGTTCCTGGAACCAACCAGTATACTAAGCAATGAATGTAAAGTTTCTTGCTCAAGAAAACAACGGCTTGCCCCGGACAGGGTTTGAACCCACGTGGTCAGTAATCCTTAGATTTCTTGTCCCACCCTATAACCACTCAGCCACGGCTCCACTTAGTTGATGATATGTCATGAGAAAATGGTTGTGACTATGATAGGGATCAGACCAATGAAATTTTGGTGGAGAGATGGCTTACACCATAACCCCTTGGTCACCTCTACTCCCATAAGAAACTATTTGCTTTTCACTTAATTCAATAGTTACACTTACTGCCCTCACAGTGCCAGTCCAAGGAAGTTGTAAGTTCATTGTTGAGAATATTTACTGAATAATAAGAAATTCAAGACTTGGTTAATATAACTGCAAGCTTGTATGCGACTGAAAATTCTGTTGCACCTAGGTTTTTTAACACAAATATATTTATAAAACTGCAGCTGATAATTTGACCTACATAGTACAAAAAAAATTGTTCCTTCAAATGTTGAGAAAACTCAGCCTTTGGTCTTTGGAATTTGTGTTATGAAAGCTTTTTAATTTCTTAAAAAGATCAATATACCTGTGTTTTGGAAAATCATTAAGAAACTTAAGTAAATATGGATGGAATAGTTTTCACCTTGACCAAAGTATCACACAGTCTTTAATACAACCAGAGTGCCTATTAATCTCCAGTATCAGATTCAAATTGTCACTAATTACTGTAATTTTCTTTGTATCACATGACTGAAGGATAAAATGATATGACAACACTAATTATAGACATGGAGATAGTGTACAGTGTCAGCCTTTCTACAAAAATTACGAAGAAAAATGAAGAAGAAAAATGAGACACACTCTACAAGGCTCACTCCTTGTCACTCTTAGATTAATGATTAAGGCAAATTGTGTTACAATTTGTCATTCAGGAGTTAATGATTGATTTGTTAACAAACAATGGTGTGACTTTGTTGATGATTTTGTTGAAAGCCATTAACCCTTTTCTGTGGTTCAGGCAATAATGACTTCATTATGCCACCAGTATAATGTTGGCTAAAGATGTTGGTGCCTAAATTTTAAACAATTTTGTCAGCAAGATTGATTACATTTGAAAACATTTTTTTTATCCTGTTGTTGCGATATTATACATATAAGTCTGTGAATCTTAATCTGCTGGAACCAGATCTGTGCAGTCTGACCAACCAGCTGAAACTGGATCTGTGCTGTCTCAGGCCAGCCTGCTGGAACCGGATCTGTGCTGTCTCAGGCCAGCCTGCTGGAACCAGATCTGTGCTATCTCAGGCCAGTCTGCTAGAACCGGATCTGTGCTGTCTCAGGCCAGCCTGCAGGAACCAGATCTGTGCTATCTCAGGCCAGCCTGCTGGAACTGGATCTGTGCTGTCTCAGGCCAGCCTGCAGGAACCAGATCTTTGCAGTGTGATAAAGCTCTATATTGTTGGCTTACTAAATTCCCATCTTGATTTTGTCTTAATTGATAATGGACAGTTCAAAAAAAGTAATCTAGACAAATCCATTTAAGAAATTTGTCAGGTTATGGGTTAATAGCTGTTTGCCTATTCAACCAGTTTTGAGCTGTCTGTGCAGGCATTGTTGCATGCACTGTTGGCTGTTGATTTGTGCCGACTGGCCTGGCTATTATAGTAGTGGCAAAGATTAATCATTTTTATTTCTGACATTTCAAGGAGTTAAGTTGAGATCACATCATGGCAGCATAAAACTAAGAGTTTTTTTCTGTCTGTATGCCTCCAGATAAGCCAAAATATTTCTAGAAAATGAAACTGGGGGAAACTGCTCAAAGATTTTAATAAGAATAATAATAAGATTCAACTAAAAATTTACTATGTTAATTAATGACTGATTTAGCAGTTTTTATCACCATATTTCTACTGCATGACTAAGACAGTATGTGCTATTTTTGCATATTTTGACCTCTTTTTGCTAATTCAAAATTAAATTTTGCAATCTTTGTTCATTTTACAATACTGGTATTTTACTTTTTTAAAATACGTTTTCAAAATTTTCATGAAAATTAGCATAAATCTGAAGGCATACTGCTTTAAAGTTATTACATTGACCAGTCAGTTACATCTCAGAAAAACCTCAGCCTATGATTTATCTTTCTTTTCCATGAAAAATGGTTTTACACCTACAGTGAATAAATAGTCTTTAATCATAATTTTCCAAGGCAGTGCGCTTTCAGTTTGTCTAATATAGAACATTTGTGATACATCACCATCAGGCCTTTCCTGGAGATAAATGCTTGTTTAAAATGCCATATAGAAACTTCAGTGACATTTTCTGACTTTGTTGTAGATTTATTGGCTTTTTGTTGCTAGCAGTGAATTTCTTTGGTTTTGAATAATATTGAACTCTTTTTTTCTACATTGATAAAATAGTTAAATTATAATGGCCAAAATATTCTGAGAAATGCGTAATATTGTAAAAACGTAATTTTAGGCAATAATGTTATAAATAAAATGCACTGTTTAATTTGTATTAATTAGCATTTTGAAAAGTGATTGTTGAAATAGGTGTAGATCAGGCATCTATCACACTGTGTATACTGAGGTACAGTCATTTTTGATGTGACATTAAACCTACGACGAGTTTGATTTTGTGTTGTGTTCTATACTTAATGAGGGTCCATCTGCCCTTTCAGGCACAGAGAGTACAGACCCTCTTAATTTTTATTTGCCATTAAGACTTAACACTTTATTCTCCCACTCTATGACATCAATCTTATGGCTTTATCAATAGTTTCCTGTACAAAAATATTAACACCCTAAAGGTATTACTGTTGCTCAGCTCCTTTTCATTTTTTTTTTTCTTTTTTGAGGTCCAAATCTTCTGTTCTTATAGACGGGTAAAAAGAAAAAAACAGCAAATTTGAACAAAAAACAAAAGGACAGAAATGTTTTTCATTTTCCAAGTTATATCTTGAACAACTAGAAAATGTAAATAATAAGTTGTGGTATCTGAATTTTCATTTTCTTTGTAAATTTGTATGTATTTGAAATGGAAACTTAGGTCATCTACCTCTAAAGTGTTCTTTTCATTCTATTAGATCTGCTGCATGAAATGAGTTTAAACAACACCAAAAGAGTAGAACACACAGCACAGTGAATGTTTATGAAGCTTAATGATTCAAGCAATTTCAATGGCTGCGCTCATAAAATTTACTTTAATATCCAATTTCACATCCCAGAGGTTTTAAAGATAATTGGATTTGTCTGATATACTATGCAATTACTTTTCTTTTCATCGGTGATATTTGTTTCATAAGTCCCCAGATTAGGACTGTTTGTCCAACTTGCAAAATATAAGGAGCCGTTTGATGGGATGTTTTTTTTATACTGTTTGTAAGCTGCAGTATGATTGGGTTAAATATTAAGGGTCAGTTTGATTTGATTTTTTTTGTGTCGCCTGCTACAGAGTAGCAGTGACATGTAGGAATTACTTCTCAGCTGTTTGTCTGTCTGTTTATCTATCACAAAACTTGTCCAGACTACTCCACAAAAACTCCTGAGGCGATTTTAGAAATGATCAGTTATGGCCCTTGAATAAAACAGGCATTTTAGCCTGTTAATGATTTTTATGGTAATTTTTTACTTTCTCCATTAATATTACGAAAAAAAAATACCCTAAGATTTCAGAAATATTTTCAATTCAAATGATTTTAATACTTTCACAAATTTTGGGGGAAAATACTTTTTACCAGAAATTTTGAAAATTTGTAAATTTTTTCCCATTTATTCTAAAAATAAAAGCAAAATTTTTTTGGGAAACTGCATTTTTCCTGTAAAATTACTGTGGGTTTTCATGAATTAGTTATTTTAAAGTACAAAAATTTTGCATTTTTAAGTTTTTAAAACTTTTGGTGGCAAAACTTGTGTGTATTTTCTTAAAAGGCTTCTCAAACCCCTTTCCCCCAATTTTTCAAATCCCACGGGGAAACTTTATCTTCTTAAAAACCCAGTAGCTTAGGAATTGGGGGTTTCTAAGGGGTTTGTCCAAAATAAGCAGGGAACCCTGGGTTTCCCCCCGGGGGGGGTCTAAATTGACCTTATGTTATGTGACAAAAAACCCAAAAAAACAAAATTTACATTACATAACTTTTTTCATTGTTTCTACAGCCCAAAAAAAAAGTTGCTAAAATAATCTATCCTTTTAAAATAATTGTTTTTTTAAAATTGGGTTTTAAAAATTTATTTCTTTAAAAAACCCTTTAAAAAATTTTTAGACGTATTTTGCTGAAATTTTTAAAGTTTACATTTAAAAAATAAAAAGTTTTTGAACCCAAAATTGTTCTTAATTTTGGTTAGTTAAAAAATTTTATGCATCAATTGATCCCCAAAAATTTAAAAAAAAAATTGGTTAAAATTACCCTTTTTCCCCCGGGTTTCCCAATTTTAGCAATTAAAAACTTTTGGTTTTTTAAAACAGATTATACCCTCTTTTTCTGTCAAGCACTTAAATAAAAAAGACTTAAATAGTCAAGCATGCGGTTTAAAAAGTTTTGTTTCTTCAAAAAGGGGTTTGTCATTTGGCAAGAAGGAGTCATCATTGTTAGTGTCTTGTATATCAATCTGTATGGTTTCTGGTCTTCTTGAAGACAGGAAATTATTGTCAAGTCTGTTTAACAAAGACCAATAATCATGTGATGTAAGATAAATGTCTTCATTTTATAGACTCATTTCATTACAGGTCTTTGCCCAGCACCGTCGAAATGATTTCTTTTTTATAATGCTTGAAGTACAATCTCCTGCCTTAAGATAATCTTTTAGTACATGATCTGTCTGGAAGTGATACTACTGTGTTTTTTCTTGATTAAGTCTGATCAGGCTATAAAAGCTGACATTTCATTGGTCAATAATTATGAGCATTGTGCTTAGAAATATGTAACAGTATATTGTATCATAGTATGCAAGAGAAAAAGAATTGGCTTAACCCCTAACAAATTCTACCTATGCAGACCACAATTAACTGGGCACATCTGTGCTGTCTGATCATGGTCTGCACTGTTTGCTTAATATTCAGTCTTCAATGGACTTGCCCTTTCAATCTGGTCAAAATTATTCATCACTTTTAGGGAAAATTTCAAAATATGTATGGACTAACACGCAGTGTGAACAGTGCACACTATTGTCAGATGACATAGACATGCTAGTTGATCTTGGTCTGCACTTAGTTGTCTCCAGCAGGGTAAGCAGTATAAAAAACTAATTAATGAAAAATAAAAGTTGTTAATGGCATAGCCAGACAAAGGGTCAGTGTAATACTGTCCTAAGTGACTCATGTAATGAAATATGAAGCTATGGCTGTCTTTGTAATCAGATGTTTGACCTTATATTCAGATTGTTAAACTTATTCAAAGAGAATGTTATTTTTTTAATTTATCAATTTGTAAATAAATTCATCTTTTGATAAATATATTATTTTCAAAATATGTCATTTCTGTTATTTTCTTTTTTCAGACTAGTTCTCTTAGTTATGTTTAATGCCTTACTGTTCTACAAACTATGGTCCCTGGAAACTGTGGCCAACGTTCTCTACCTGCCTAACTCACAAGAGGCTGTACATAGTTTTGCTAAGTAAGTATAAATATCAACCTTTGTTATTTGTAGACTGTCGAATAGTTCAGTAACCTTGCTTGATTTGAGTGTTATAAGTGTTTTTAAATTGTAGCACTTTGCAGTCTTCTGTGCAAAATCTTGATTTAAACCCATTATGAATAAAAAAATTAGAGCTTATTTCTTTGACTGACAAGTTTGCTTCCAGAACTAAAGCAGCACTGGTGTCACATGATGTAACGTGATGTTACACCAGGAGGGCTGAGATCTTAGATTTCTTTGTACAGTCTGTGAAGACACTGTTATGTTTCCTGCATTAGATTTTAGCTTTTGAAATTTGAGATAACCACTCAGGATAGAAATAAATAGTCCCAAATTTTAAGCAAGGCAGTTTGATCAAAGATTTATGGAAAATTTCTGGTCTTTATAACCAGGGTTTGCAATTGAAATTGTAAACTATGTTGATAGGTGATTGATGACGAAATGCATTTAAGAATTTTGTTATATGGCAACAGATTTGTAATTTATTGAAAACCTGTGAAAGCCATGCATCTTTCTTTGACATGCAAGGATTCTAAATTGAATTTGATTTATTGATCCCCAATGGAATTTCATTTCTGGCTTGCTTGGTAACTGCTATTAGATTTTGTGTCGTTTTTGATGTTTGTTACAGATCTTGTCATAATAAATTTGGTTTTCGTGTTTTTATCCCACCGGGTCTGTCTACAGTAATAAAACTTAGTGCCTGTTGAGATATGATTACATAAATGTATTATTAAGTCTAGATGTATAGATTTTAACACAATTACAGTTACAGGGAGGATAATAGAATAGCCATATATAATAATGGACAACAAATTGAGAGATGTAGCAACATTTAATGAAGAAAGTATCAGCCAGAGAGCAATATACTCTAACTACACTAAATAGCTTAAATAGACTTGTCCATCTTTCAATCAAGGCAAAACTATTCATCATTTTTAGGGACATTTTTAGCGAAAATTTCATTTGTACAGAGTGAATGTGGAACAGTGCAAATCATGATTCAACAGCACATATGTGCTGGCAGATTTTGGTCTGCATTGGTCCTACAGGTAGAATCAGTTGCATCCACCAGGCTAATGGTTAATTGATGGTTTTATTTGTGAACAAAAAATTTGGCAGAAGAATAGCTTAGTAAAGGGGATAAATTAAATTTTGAGCAGATAAAACATTAAATTCTGCAGCTAATACAATAGAAAGGTATATCTGTTATCAGTAAATTCTGTGCAGTGGTAAAAGTATAAATTTCTATAACAAATGACAAAGTAGGTTTAAATAATATAACTTCAGCCTGGATTTAAATTTGTCTTATGTTTTAAGCATGAATTCAGGTAGCAAATGGCATTGTAGGGTTTTACTATTAATTGAGGAACAGTTAATTACGTAGGTTTCAGGAGCAATTATTAACATAGGTTTATTTAGGATAAATTAATTACACAGGTTTTAGTAACAAATAGGAAAGTTTGGTTAATTGATTAAATTTGGGGTTTAATTTTGAGCATGAGTTTCAGGAACTAATAACAAAGCCAGGTTAAATAATTAAACTTGAGGCAAAATTATTTTCATAAATTTAAGCTGACAATGGGGCATTCTTGATTTGAACTATGATCTGCATCTTTCATCCTTTTGCAACTTGGGTTGTGCAATGGGATAGTCTTAATTCGAACTTTGAACCTTGAGCAGCTTATGGTGTGGTGAATATATTTAAATGTATTTTATGAAGAAATCATTTTGTTTTGTTTTTTGATCAGACATCCTCCAAAGTCACATGAGGAGTGGGTGGAGTTATTACGGCATCAACAGATGTTACATGACGCTGAGATGAGTAAATGGCAAGATCTGCTTGGTGCCTCAATAACAATGGTGGATCAGGTGAGTTCTTTAATAAGGATCTAGATGTCAGTAAAATTTATACATTCTTTTAGCTTTTCAGAACTTAAAGTTCAAGTGTGTTTGGGCAGGATATGAGCAAAGAGTTCTACTGATATTATAACTATGATTGTTCATTTCAGTTGTAGACATTGTTTTATAAAAATTGTGATTTTTATATAAGTAACTTGCCCCTGACTGCTGTGGTTTCAAATCCCACATGGGGCCTTGAATTCTTTCATATGAGGAATCTATTTATGGAACATAATTGTTAAAACTCGGGTGCTGGCTTGTGTTGAAAAAACACAGAGAGAACCCTGAGGTCTTTCTGTACCAAAAAGCTGTAAAGTGGCCATATAAGCAATACAGAGTCAGTGTGACTTAAAAATCCAACAAAAAATAAATAATGAAGAAAAAGATTCCATTCTTGTCCGTCAGCGTCTTAAATTAGTTAAGTATATAGTCAAGTTTCTTACATGTACATCTGAAGTTTGTAAGGTAGTATTCTCATTGAAAGATGTATACAAATTTATAATTTCAACATTATTGTTTTTATAAATTTCTTTTGCTACATAAACTTTAGCGCAGAAATGTAATAAGGCTATTTAATGATATAATAAAAAATAGATATTACACTATTGTAATAACACTTGACATGCCATCATTTGCGTTACATACAAACATAGCTTTAAAGCATGCTTATTTTAGCATTCATCTTTGGCGCATCAACGAAAAATAACTCTTTTTTTTTTTAACTGTAAACCATTATTAATTTGGATATGTGATAAATAGAATATTATCTTTGTGTAGATTCAATACTATTTATTGAACTCGTTTAATAAAACAGTATGATTTATTAAATCCGCACTTACTAAATATCCTCTATAGGTTATATATAATGAGTTAAAGCTTTCAGTCATTATCAGTTTAAGTTTATATGTATTTTTGCTTTCTATTACAGATGAAACAGACTTTAATAAGTTTAAAAGATCATATAGATGCTGGAGCTTTAAAGTATAGTACTGAAAAATTCTGTGATAAGGAGGTCGACTCTTGCACTGGCTCCTAGCAGAGTTACCTTCTACAAGCTAGCTGAACAAATTCTGTGAAATGGAAAAACCAACTCTTGGCAGGCAGAGTTATCTCTTCAAGTTAGCTGAACAAAGCCTGTTATAAGGGAGACAACTCATAACTGGCTCTTAGCAGAGTTATGTCCACATGCTAGCTGAACAAACCCTGTTATAAGGGAGACAACTCATGAAGCAGCTGGCAGCAGAGTTATCTCCACATGCTAGCCAAACAAACCCTGCGGTTACCAAAGAGAATGATGTGCAATGACGTTCAGAGTCAAGTCTCAAATTAGAAACTTGCATTTCTGAACAAAGTAATGATCAAAAAATAAAAAGAATAATATTGTGCAATGAATTTCTGCTGGTGTAAAGTGTTGATATTCTATTAGGAGCTATGTCTCAATGATCAAGTGTGATCACTATAACTATATCTGTGGGTTAAATGTGTGATCATCTTCCAATAAAGGATCAGTCATGAGAAGGAAAATGATCATAAGACTGTGTTTTGTATTGTGATGATGAGGTTTATATCTGGTGGCCAAATACGTGTGATTATGATGCTTTATATAGATTATTTACATTGTAAAGTGATTATTTTACATCTTTGCTGGTAAAATGTGATTATGAGATAAAATCTCAAAACAAATGTGATCACAGTAAATATTTTACAATAAGCTTTTTCCTGTTTTTAGTTAGACCTTTCTATAATTGCAAATGCTAATGCATTTATAAGAATACCTGTTACGAGTGTTAAGAAATGAGAGGGAAAATATAATTTATGTTCTGTTTTGGAGTAATTTATGAATATAGCATGATTACAATATTCTTTTCTTTGTCCATGTGTAGTGTTATTAATGCTCTCTATTTTTGGTTTAACTCAAAGGTGAACAAAGATGTTACAGAATTTTGGCCTACTTGTAGTGAAAAATATGTTCTTTTTTGCTCCTGAATTTTTGCTCTTTAAGAATGTAGATTAAAACACAACACACATGTTGGCCCTATTTTAGTACTTTAACAAACATTTCCAATTTTAATCCAATTCTAATAGGGTTTTAAGAGATTGCACATTGTGGTCCTGCTTCTCTAGTACATGTATAATCAAAGATTTTACAGATTTTGGCCCTGCTCTAGTCTTGTCAAAGACATTACAGATTTTCGCCCTGCTCTAGTGGTATCAAAGACATTATAGATTTTGATATTAAAACATTACAGATTTATGTCCTTCAGTGTAATTAAAGACATCAGAGTTTTTCCTGACTCAAGTGTAATGATAGACATGTCATATTTTTACCTACTGCTCTAATGTAAGTAAAACAGTCAGATTTTCACCTTACTTCAGTGTAATATAAGAGATCCCATCTGTTTTGTAATTTATGACATTTTGTAATTTGACCTCGCTGTTTTTAAAAGACATTTAATATTTTTGCCAATTTGTAGTGTAATTGAAGACAATGTCAGATTTTTGTGTTACTTCTTTGTTATAAATGACATTTTGTTCATCAAATTTTAGGCTAACTTTAGTGTAATTTTAGGCATATTACATTTTTATCACACTGTATTTAAAAAACGTTTCATATTTTGTTCCTACTCTAGTGTAATACAAGACATTATTGGGTTTTTGTCGTATTTCTTTGTAACAAAAAACATTGTCAGATTGTTGCCTAGCTCTTGTTCTATTAAGAGACATTACATACTTTGACAACACTGTTACTACAGTATTAAAGAAGACATTTTAAATGTTGATGTTTCTCTAGTTAATATGACATTATTTATTTTTAATTTTCGTTCTATTATAGCACTATCATTCAAAAGTTAAAGAACATTATTTAGTTATTTGCTCAAAAATGTGTGCATATTCTTAAAATGTGTAAGACAAATAGAATTTAAATTATGCATCTTTAAAGGAAGGATTAATATTGGGATTTACTTATAATAAGAAATATGTAAATAATTCATGCATAGTTCGCAAGACTATATTCTTTAAAGTTAGGTAAATTGACATTTTATTCTTCTGACTGAATGCAACAAACTTACCATGGTTTATATTTGGAATCACCCTTCTTTTAATTAGTATAGAGATTTTAATATTGAAATATGAAAAACTTTTTGTTTTGTTCTGTTGGTCTTAATGGCATACCAACACAATTTAGGTCATATGGTGCTGAAACAGGAAAAGTGATTGTCACTAACCTTGGTTGTTACAAACTTAAAGCAACACCAGGAGTCAAAACCACCTCACCAAATAGAGCTAAGAGATTGATAGACAAGTTGCCTATTATGATCATGCAGGAATTAATGGTGGCTGCTATTCTGATGCTTAGAACCTTACAGGCAACCCCTCGGCCTCAAGGGGAAATATGAAAACTAAGCAGCCAAAAGAGTAAGTGATGAATAGCCTGGTCTACCTCTATAATCATGATATGTATAGCAAGTCTTATTGCTGCTGGTATTCACAGACTGTAATGTCTCGATGTTTTGTTAACATTCTCCCATATTTTGACACCCAGATAGAGTAGACCGTGTGAAAGGTGAAAGTATGATATAAACCTACGTACTATTAGAAAGGAATCCTGTGCTCAATGCCTACACATTTCATCCTCACCTTTACTTTAATAAGAAAATATCAACTAATTTCTTCAAGAAATACTCGTATGATCTTATTAAAGTTCAACATAATATTTTTCAGTTTAGAAATTGAATGATCGATATTGTGTACATGAATGCGTAGATGTGTTTGTTTTGACTAATACCCAATCTCATTAACATCAGGTCATTGTTTTCACTCTGTAACTCTTCGCTACCTAGCAAAGACTAGTGGAGTGACAGTTAGGATATGATTTTAATGAGATTGACTAAAACCTTGAAGGTGTTTGAAAGTCAAAATGATTTAGATTTCTGTGCCAAATTTTCAGTATAATTTGACAACAAGATTCCTTCTTGTTTCTTTGAAGGTTTTAACTAAGTGAAAAATACTAGGGCAATACTGAATGTATGAAATATATCTCATCGTTATGAATATATGAGCAAATATTTCAGTGTTAATACAATAAACATTTACAACAAATCATTGTGCTATATCATGTTACATTTTCGACTTCATTAGACTGTCTTTAGTTTTTAATTTGCCTTTAGAATTCCTGGTTGAATGTAGTACAATAAACATTCAATATGAATCATTTCAAATTCCTGGTTGAATTGAGTTTCCTTTGTTTGATTCTGTATATTGTTATTAGAGAGATTTGTTGATATGAATATCATTTTAATGAGAACTGTTGTTTAGTTTGAGATAGTATGATTTTAAAATATAGTTTGAGACCATTTATGTAATGAGAAATCCATGTCTAGAGACACTTCATCTAGTACATATCACAACATGATGTCTTATCAAACTGAGCTATCCATTACTATTTCATTTGGTTGTGTTAATTTTACTTGGTAATATATTGTTTTGTTTGAATAAGCTATGAAACTTCGATACTGAAAATCTTTGCCATAAAAGTTGATATTTTCAATATATTATGTAAGTATGAAAGCATAATTTATTTTTTGTTACAGAGATAGAATTTAAGGTGGTATTTTTCAGCCTTGCTGTGGCCATTGCTGTTGCAGTATCTGATAGAATTGTTACAAACTGCATTATCATAGTGCAATGTCTTATCAGTGTCATACATTCCATATAAAATTATTTTAATATATAGAGGATATTCAAGTTTTTTCTATAAATACATGATTTATTTTCATCAAGTGGTATGAAAATAAATATTTCATGAGTGGCGGTAGCCACGAGTGAAATATGGTAATTTTCATGCCACAAGATGAAAATAAATCATGTATTTATAGAAAAAACTTGAATTTTCTGTTTATTATATACATTTTTCTCTTTCTGGACATTCAAATTTGCAAAACTTTCCCTTAAATTTTGAGAACTTGCAGAATTTAAAAGAAAGTAGTCCGGGAAGACACCAGTGAAAATACGGAAAATATGTTTCACTGCAGTGAAAAATAAATTTTTACAGTGAAAATACGGAAAATGAAAATATGCATTTTATTTCATCAATATTTCTCAATATTTCATTTCAAAGTATATAATAAAATGTTCTAAAAACAATGGGAAATTTGTAGATTTTTATTTTGGTTGAAACTTAATGCTTAAATAAATACTGACCTAGTATGCATGTGACAGCATTTAGTAAAGCCATTGCAAAGCATTTTGCTTTTTAGCTCACCTGTCACAAAGTGACAGGGTGAGCTTTTGTGATCGCTTTTCGTCCGGCGTCCGTCCGTCCGTAAACTTTTACTTTAAATGACATCTCCTCATAAACCACTAAGCCAATTTCATCCAAACTTAACAGGAATGTTCCTTTGGTGGTCACCTTTAAAAATTGTTCAAAGAATTTAATTCCATGCAGAACTCTGGTTGCCATGGCAACCGAAAGAAAAAACTTTAAATATCTTCTTTTAAAAAACCATAAGAGCTAGAGCTAAGATATTTGGCATAAAACATCTTCTAGTGAGTGTCTACCAAGTTTGTTCAAATAAAAGCCCTGGGGTCAAAATTGGCCCCGCCCCGGGGGGTCATTGATTTTCCCTTTATGCATATAGTAAAAACTTAAAAAATCTTCTTTTAAAGAACCAAAAGAGCTACAGCTAAGATATTTAGCATGAAACATCTTCTTATGGGTGTCTACCAAGTTTGTTCAAATAAAAGCCCTGGGGTCAAAATTGGCCCCGCCCTGGGGGGTCATTGATTTTCCCTATATGCATATAGTAAAAACTTAAAAAATCTTCTTTTAAAGAACTCAAAGAGCTATGGCTAAGATATTTAGCATCAAACATGTTCTAATAGGTGTCTACCAAGTTTGTTCAAATAAAAGCCCTGGGGTCAAAATTGGCACAGCCCCGGGGGGTCGTTGATTTTCCCTATATACATATAGTAAAAACTTAAAAAATCTTCTTTTAAAGAACCAAAAGAGCTACAGCTAAGATATTTAGCATGAAACATGTTCTAATGGGTGTCTACCAAGTTTGTTCAAATAAAAGCCCTGGGGTCAAAATTGGCCCCGCCCTGGGGGGTCATTGTTTTTAACTACAGTCAAACGTGTATTAAGCGACCGGGCAAGGGAAACACCAAAAACGGTCGCTTAATGAAACGGTCTCTTAAGACATTCAGCAATCTATAAAAAGTCAAAATTTATAAATGACATCTTTTTTATTCGATAGGATTGTTTTTCAACTTCATTTTTATATAAATGTTGAATGATAAGTACGCTCCGATAATCTAAACGGATGCAAATGTAAAAATAACGTTCTGGTATTTAATGACAAAATAGTTTTGATCCATTACGTACATGTTTGACATTTTTTCCAGAATTTTTTAACTTCTCCGTTGTTTTTCCTTGTCTCCAACACGAAACCCCTATTAGTGAAGATGTTTTTCTGTTGTGCATTTTTCCATTTGAAATAATTTGTTACGATTAATTTAATGGCTGATCAAGTTCAAGGTCAATTCAATGCAGTCTAAATGTCAACAAGCGAAGCGTATACACCATCTCAGTATGGGCGGAGCGTTGCATTGTTTTTCCGATATTATTGGATAATACACCTCACGCGTATACTTAACTTCATTTGCATCCGCTAAAACGGTATGGGAAATAGAGTTTTTCACACGTTTATTGTTGTGTTTTGATTGCTGACACCTGTGACATAACGAGGTGGCGTTCTCTAAAAACACAATTACTTAACAGGTAAAAGTGGTCGTTTAATGAAAAGATTGATGTCAATTAGGTGACTAATTAGCGGTCGCTGGTCGCGTTGAGCAAAAGTCGCTTAATACATTAAAGATATAGAGAGAAAATGATCGGGGGGAATTTAAAGTGGTCGTTTAAGACAAAAGTCGCTTAATACACGTGGTCGCATGGGCAAGTTAGACTGTATATGCATATAGTAAAAACTTAAAAAATCTTCTTTTAAAGAACTCAAAGAGCTATGGCCAAGATATTTAGCATCAAACATGTTCTAATAGGTGTCTACCAAGTTTGTTCAAATAAAAGCCCTGGGGTCAAAATTGGCCCCGCCCCAGGGGGGTCATTGATTTTCCCTATATGCATATAGTAAAAACTTAAGAAATCTTCTTTTAAAGAACCAAAAGAGCTAGAGTTTAGATATTAAGCATGAAACATCTTCTAGTAAGTGTCTACAAAGTTTGTTCAAATAAAAGCCCTGGGGTCAAAACTGGCCCGGCCCCAGGGGTGTCATTGTTTTTAACTATATGTATATAGTAAAAACTTTAAAAAAAATCTTCTTTCAATCAAGCCCAATGAGCTAGAGCTTAGATGTTTAGCATGAAACATCTTCTTATGGGTGTCTACCGAGTTTGTGCAAATAAAAGCCCTTGGGTTAAATTGGCCCTGCAACGTTTGGGGGGGGGGGGTGGGGGTTGGGGGGCCTATATACAGGTGAGCGACCTCAGGGCCATCATGGCCCTCTTGTTTTTTAAAACAACAGATTTTGTTGTTCCTGTTTGTTATCACTTTTTTGTGTTGAAGATTTTTTGTTACTATTTATGATAGAAATTATTATGAACTCTTGGGTTATTAAATACTTGGCAAGTGTACTATTCATTTAAAGAATTGCAAGAAATAACTGGCATGGGACAAAACAAAGCATTTCACTCACTGAGTCATTATATCATGTTAGGATTCATTCTAGGGTCAAAGTAAAATTATAATCAGCTAATTTAATATGTTAGGTGGCGATAGCATCCGAAATAAATTAATCGTTTGCCAAGACTTATTATATAAAAAAAAATATATGTCTGATTTGATTTTTTAAAACAGAAAGTATCATCATACATTGCTTAATCAATATGGTTCAAGCTGAACCAACAACTTTAATATTTTGAAAAATGACAGCAAGGGAATGTATCTGGGTTACATGCTGGATCATGTCTTTTACTATGATTATTGAATGCCATCTAACATTCGGAACTGCCTCGGCTATTATCTATAATATTAACCTCGGAAACAATACGGATTGAAAGTAGTTCTACCACGTGGTTTACAGATGTAAACAGAAACAGAGATAATGTAAAACGAATGTATATATTTGACATTTAATGTCTGTTCCGGTACTCTTATGCTTGAAAATATGTCTGGCAACAATTTGTAATTCAAATATGCCCACTGATGTTCAATTTTAAATAAATCCGACCAAATGTCAACAGGTTGGCTTTTTGTACTTTCGGTTTCTACAGCCATATTAGTAAATATATAAATAATGTATTGTTTGCTTTTGTACCTATGAATTCACATATCTTAGGTGGACTTTAACTACATATATTGGAAATAAACGTGTCAACAATTCCTAGCATTAAATTACTATTTATTTACATGTTTAGTTTCTTAGCGTAGGTTAGACCGGAATACTGCATCCGTTCTGTGTATTCATACTATTGTGTTCGAGGTCCTTATCCGAAGACTGACGGAGAGGGCTGAGTAGTTGCGATTGTGCCATCTAATTAAAGAAAGAAAGTACTGATCAGATTGTTTGACATAGAAATGTGTCACTGTTTTCATTTTTTTGGTTCCATTGTTCATGATTTCAGATTCTTCTTGTGTTGGAATAAACTACTACAAGATTTAGATGGTCATTATACAATGTGTAGGGTATTGAATAAAAGAAATTTTGTTACTTGACACTTTTTTCATTTGAAACATAGTCTGACATTTTACTATAAATATGTTATTGTATATGAAAAATGATTAAATACTATGTTTGAGTGAGATGATTATATGATACATTCTTATGTTATCTTTATATATATAAATGTTGAAACCATTATTTATTTGTTGACTTTATTGCTATGAATAAAATAAATATTCTGACACTTGTTTCTCCTCAATGATCCTTTCTTGTTGCGTTAATTCAACAGGTTTGCCACTTACCTCTTTGCTTTAACATCCTCATTTTCGCAAGATACTAGTAGTTACATTATTATAGACAAGAGCCTTTTTTGTTGTATTAAAATAAGTAAAATACTTGAAAGTGATGTATATATTCAACGTTAATTTTTGATTTTATTAGTTCACCTGAGCACTTTGTGATAATAGGTGAGCTTTTGTGATGACTATGTGTCCGCTGTGAGTAGTTATCTACAAATTCTTTGAATAACATCTACTTCTAAATTACAAGGTGTATTTTGACCACAAGGATTGATCCTAATGTGTCTTTTTACAATACAAAAATGATTAAGTTACCCCAAAAACAAGTTATCTAAACATTTGTATGAAGAAGAGGACTTTCCAAATTTAAGTTTCATTTTAAGGCTGGCAGGTTCAAGTCATCTGTAGGAATCGGGACAAATTATGATAGGAAGAAGCTGTCATTTGAAAACTCAAATAACTCTCTCTTGTATAACTTACAATGCTGCTTTAACTTGTATTTGTATAATAATTTGGGGACCTTTTTGTTGAAAATTGTCAAGAGTTGAATCGTATACACAGTGCGTTAACTGGAGTGCAGGTATTAGTTTCCAGCACTCCAGAGCATGCACCTTGATTGGCTCATTTTTTTCGGTGGTTTATCTGTGCCTACAGATAAAGGGATAGCGGTAGAAATATCATATTCAGATGATCGTTCATTGGTTATATTTTTTTCTGGGGTATCAAATTGTGACAACAGGGAAACTGTTTTATTTTTGCCTACGATACAAGAGAGAGAGAACATCAAAACACTGGGCAATCTGATTTATACTCAGGGGCTACCTGCCCCCTCCCCCCTCCAAATTCAAATCAGATAGCCTCGTGTTTCGATGCTCTTTCTTTTGCCTGTTAGATAACAAGTTGATTGATAATATCTAAATTATTGGCATAGAAGTACACTCTTGATAATTATGATAGTGTCACAAGGGAAATAATAAAAGAAAACTCTTTTCTCCATATTTTAGGGTGACTTCCCTTCGCTCAATATTTAATTCACCAATAAATGTTGTCCTTGCGCTGGTGAATCTTTATAATCGTCCCTCTACCTGTTAAATGTAGTTTGAGGCAATTTTAAATAAATTCATGGATTATAATTGTAGAACAATAATTATACCTATAAATTGCTTGTATTTATATATAATTTGTTACGTTCATACTTAATCATATTTTCATTCTCAGGGGCGTACTTCTGCTTATTATAAGTGTACGCCGAGTGCCGGTTTTTTGGCCGAAGGATCGCCAGAGACTTATTTATCAAATATAGCTATGTGCTATAGCTAAGGATTTAGGGGATATTTAAGCTAATTGTACTTAACTATTGTCTTTTATCTATAGTTATAAAAATAACATCAAGTACATATATTGAATGTAAGAGAAAAAGCACGAAGTCTAAGATGTACACTGTTTTAAATAGTTAAAAAATTATTTGCTTTTAGAAAAACAAAACATAGCCAGGTATCTCTCTTGTAAACAGATGGGTTTTATATCCTTTTGTAACAAGTTTAGTTTTTATCTTATAACATGAGATATAATCAAGGAAAATATGTTTTAAAATGATCTGTATGACTTTAATACAAACAGAACAGCTTAAATGTTTAGTGTAACGAGATTTTATCGTATTTGCAGCTAAAATGTAGTATTGCACGATCATTTAGCTTCCTTAAAATATTTGTAATGCGTATTATGTCAATGTTGTAGACAATAAATATTGTGTTTAACATTTTTGTTCTCAACTCTAGCCTTTCAATTTCCATTTGAAATATTTAAGTTATTTCATTACGAAGTTAAATGCCTCACGCACTTAAAGCATGTTGGTATAAACATATATATATAGTCAATAATTGTATAATTCATATAATACATATATTACTTACTTAAAAATGATATACTAATTTATCGTTACAAGGTAAAATATAAAAAGACATTCCATAGAGCTAACTCCCTTCCATTGTGCTAAAAACGCCAAGTTGCAAACAAGATCTTTATTTTGCATATAGATCTAGATGTAAAAAATGAAATAAATGTTCACTGATTTGATTCTACTGGGAAAAAATGATTGTAATATATTGGACAATTTCTTATCCTTATTTGGATTTTGACGAGGTTTATTAGCATTATAACGCTTACCTCAAGCTGAAAAAAGAGAAAATTCCAAAGAACTTGTTTATATCATATTTTTACTCTCTTTCTTAATTGAATTTTTGATTTTTCATAAAAAGGTAACGCATATTCGAATAAGGTAAACATCCTAAGTATACCTGTAGAATAAATTAGCAGCTACGAATACATTGACCGATCTACGCCCAAATTAATGATTTCATTTTTGAATTTTATTTTTGAAACTTTTTCTTACGTATATAATACGCCCGTGCGTAATGGCGTATTGGTCGATACGCCACTGATTCTATTTGCAGACTTGAGAGATGCACTTTAAAAAGATAGATAAACTACATATTATAATAAACATCTTTATTTCCTTCAATAGGTGAAGAATATTACATATATACATACATAGAAATATAGATATTCATATGCATTGATATAGAACAACAATTACCATTTTGTTTACATAAGATTGACCTTATAATAGAAGAGAGACGATTTCTTTAAGTCTAGTGGAATATAATCATAATCTATCCAGATCAAAATAAACAATACTAACATCTTTTTCTTATACAACAGATGTACCAAAAATAAGTTGTTTTTATAATATTCTGTTATATAAAAACGTTTTCTTTTAAAACAATATTAATCATAGTATCTAAAAAATGAGTATACCAATATACTTAATTGCTATACAAGATACATGTACAGTTATGTGATTGCCTATTATCTTCATTCTGCAAATTTGCAAAATTGAAATGTACATAAAATGATAATAATAATAATAATAAATTAACTTTAGTATTTAATATCTAGTGCATGATAATCAAAAGTTCAGGTTGTCAATAACTTTTAAAGATTTTTTAACTTATTAACATCTATATTCTATTGTACAGTTCTATAAACAACCGTATCACTGTATAAATATATAATCTAAGCTAAATGCATAATTATGTACAAAATATAAAGAAAATACCAGAGAAATAATATTTTTAGCTATTCATTACTTGCACTTTGACACAAATCACCATTTTTCAAGATAGAGATTCGCTCCAACTCGTACTTGACCAGGCAAAGATATGGTCTAACTTTTATATACCATACTTTAAGTAAACACACACACAAAAAACAGACATTAATTATTATAATAATTTTGAAATCGTAACTATTTTTTCCCACTCCTATTCATCTAAATTTTCAATGCCATTCGCCACTTTTCTGCATTCGTCCGATATAATCCATTTTAACCCAAATGGCACAAACACTAAAGAGATGTTGACGTTCATTGTGTGAGCGCCGTTGAAATTCATTCTTTCTTTTCTAATGATCTTAACACCATCGTTGTGTAAAGATGCAGATTCATATGTTTCTGCTTTAGGAGAGGCAAAAATGCAAATATCAATGTGTTCCATATCACACATGTCATCCATTGTAAAGTTATATTCCTGTTTGTCACCTTCCTGTACATGTGATCCTTTCACAATCAAAACCTTCATTTTCTCTTTTACATGTTCTGGAAATTCACGTTCATCATTAATGTGTTGCACAACAGCACTTATTGTATATTGAGAAACGATGCTTCTCACCTTTGGATTTGGTGATGGTATTTTACCGTAATGCCCTGTCAGAGTTGCACCTTTAACTAGTGTGAATTCAGGATCAGAAGGAACAAGAACCTGATATGAGGGGAAAGCACGTTTTACTGTATCCTGGACTAATTTTATTCTTGAAAAATAGCCCACCATTACAATTACTTTGATTTCCTTGGTACTTTTGTCAGATAAGATGTCCTTAATGTTTGACACAATCGCTTCTAATGTTTTCTTGAAGAAACCATTCAAGATCTTGGGTTCTATTTTTATGATACCGGTGTTAGATATAACCCTCACTCCATGTGAAAATGGTGATTCTTTTATGACAGTTTTAAAATCTTCATTGTACTCTTGCTCACATAAATCATTTAACGATAATCTGAAGTTCATTTTATCATTTTCATCAAAACGCTTAAATGCCGATTCTACATATCTTTCAAAATCAAACAAGTCGCCTTCACTCTCGATGTACTTGAGAAACACAGGTGCACCCACAATTTTAATAATGAACTGTTTTAGCTCTTCATGCACAGCTTGACCACCCCAACCACCACCTGCAACATATGCAAGTCTGCGTTGAATCCCATCTTTTGTCGAATTCGCTGATATCAATGCCGAGGACCCTGAAAGTGTTTAAATGTTTTTCTTCAGATATACGCTGTAAAATACTTATGGGAACTTTAATGTAGGCGGAAATGGCTTAAGATAATCAATGATTTATTATATAAGATAAATTTCTTTATTATTGTCTTCATTAATTATTGCTTTCAATTGTCCATACAAATTATCAAATAGTTATCTGTTATAAATATTTGTTTAATTAATCAACAGTGTTATTTTTTGAATTGATAAAACATTTTCTGATATTCGGAAATGAAATATTTCAAACATGTATGAACATGTTTGCCTCGTAGATGTCAGCCTATCAACATAGGGGTTCGAGTCCAAACCTTACTGGGGTCACCGCGACGTTTCCATATGTAACACCCACTACTGGTAATCAGACTCGAAAATGGAACGAATCAGCGTCAAACTTTCTATGTAAATAACCTTAAATAAGTACTTTAAACTAAATCCGAGCGTTGTAAAAAAGAATATGTGACAATTTAATTTTTATTTATGAGAAATCAAGCCTTCGTTCAATACTTAGTATTAGGAAATATTGTATTTGCATGTACCAATCTTCTAACAACACTTAAAGGTCATAGAATTGTTAATTAATAAAAATGTGAGTTTATAATAAAATAATTTCTTTCATGGACAGTACCTTTCAAATTTACAAGGAGGAAGCCATTTTCATTATTCAGGTCAACATTCTTTGGAAGACTCTCCTCGTCACTCCACATGTGCTTCCAATAAGAAAGAATAGCCTCTTGCTCGTTTAAAAATGAATAGTTTTTAATAAATCCAGCCTGTTCCAAAACATAAATCAATAGTCATATTTGTATCCACAAAACAGCAAATAGGAGATGCTCTCAGAATAAAAGGAAAAATAGAAAAGAAAGAAAGAAAATACCGAAAAACATTACAATATACATGTACTACATAGACAATTATTTCATTGGACAAAATTGTTTGCAGGTTAAACATTTTTTTTTTTAATTCTACAAATCAATGCGATTTTGGTTAAAGATTTTAATATAGGAATTTGATAGAATGAATACAATATTATCTGAAATTGATATTGATTAAACGCCTACCCAGAGAAAAGAACTTTCGTATGAAAAGCTTTCTGTAACATAGACTTGTTGGATCTCGAAAATACGGGAGGAACTATAAGCACGACATGTATGCGTATGCGAGTTATTCCAATATCACAATTTATAACTCTTCGCAACTTGGTTAACATTGTGTCTGTAAAGTATTTTATTATGGACCCATACACTTTGTACGTTTCCAGTCTTTTACCGCTGCATTCGGTCACTTCTAGTTCTGTTGGCTGAGTGTATTATACATTTTATGAAAATAACATGAGGAATTTGTTCTATACACACCACTATATATTTAAAGTGCTTCAGTTAAAATATAAAACTTCTTTCTGTTGAATACTTATTATATTTAGCAAAATGAAGAGATAAATTATTACTAATAAGAGCTGATTTTTTTTTATAGCTATGCTTTGTTTTTTTTCTTTTTGTATCTTATAAAACTCAAACCTTGCATAGAGAATAATCACTGAAATGCAAGTATCACGGGACACCATGGACACGGACACTAAAAACATATACTGACGGGGTAAAATCTATTCAGATCTATAAATCTTCCTCATTTCCTTATAATATTTAATGTAAAAAGTCAAATGTTACTCAAGTACTTATAATAATAATTTATCATGTAAATGCTTTTATTCTTTGTCCCAACTCTCCCCCAAAATAATCTTGATGAGTTGAAATCATACCTTATGCTCATTTGATATCTTGTGAAAATCTTTAAAGTAGTACCAATATCTTTTTTCTTCGTCTGAAAGCTGTTTGTAATTGTCCACTGCTTTATAGCCAAAGCTATGAAATTCCTTTCTTTTGTCAAAAAGCACTACCGTAGGAACTTTGTCATAGAAATATTCTACAGCGTTAATCTCCTTTGGATCGTTTCTGAATGAGTAGAAACCACTACTGTACGATGTTCCTATATCAATAGCTATAACCATCAATGTGTCACTCATTCTGCATATACTCTAAAAGAAAGGAAATACAAACTAATAGAAATAAAATCTGTTTCAAACATCAAAATTGGATACAAACATTGTTTTTTTACGAATGCATGCTGATAATTGTTTTAAAGATATGATTTGATTGTAACATTGAAATCACTTTAAATCTATTTAACTGACTTTAAAGTAAACTTCACAACAGAAGTCCAAATGCATAAAAAAGTAACATTTGAATTTTTTATATAGATCAGCTGGGACACTTATAACAGAAAGATATGCAAAAGATAATTAAGAAATATACTCCGAATAAATTGAAAAACGTATTTTTGTGCTATTCTTATATTAGTCCGACATGGATTAGAAAAAAATCTAGTTCAGTCAAGAAAATAAATCTCAGTGCAGTTCCTTTAATATATGTTTATAAATGTACGATTAACATGAATTTAGTTAGTGCGTTCTTCATTTGTTTTGAGTCATTTTGCTTTTTTTCAAAAGGAATTGAAATGTACACGATTTATTTCTTAAGTAGGTCGAATAGGACATTAACATATCTATCATTTTCAAAAGAAATGTATGCATTTAAATTAAATTAAATCATGAAAATACAGTAATTTAAAAAGCTGTCCCTAAAACCAAATATATTATAGAAAATTTCAATAACAGTTAAAGAATTCTAGATAATATTAAATCGAAACAATTCATGTAACAACTCTTTTACAAAGACAGTACTCTCTCTTGATTAAAATTATTTGTTGATCTTATAGAAAGTCAGTCTTAATCAGGGACAAACGATAATTACTTCTCGGCAAATTCAATTATGTACACTATTTGGGCATAATGCGCCTTTAAGTTATGACAGAACAGAACAGAACAAGTGTATTCAAAATCTGAGTTCAGTGTAAGATCGGAATATATTTCACCGAGTGAGCACCAAAAGGTATATTTCACGAGTGGCGCAGCCACGAGTGAAATATGAACTTTTGGTGTTCACAAGGTGAAATATATTTAGATCTTACACTAAACTAAACAAATTTTCTTTTTATCACATGCAAAGAAACGTTTTTACAACACATTAAACCTAATACTAAATGAAAAGCGCACTAAATAATAATACAACGTGACGTCATTTACGATGTCCCGTCATTAAGTTGGTACCCAGTACCCTGCAGGCTGGTATTTTACTGAAACAACGTAAGGGGCTTAAATTCAAAACAGTAAAATTATCAAAGTGGTAATTTCACTGTTTCAAACAGTGAAATTACCAGTTTGATATCATTGATATATTTCTATAAACCACCGAAAAGCATGTAATAAACCAGTATAACTGTAACTAGTTGTTAAAATAATAATAATAATAATAATAATAATAATAATAATAATAATAATAATAATAATAATAATTATTATTATTATTATTTTATTATTTTATTATTAGTATTATTATATTATTATTTTTATTATTATTATTATAAAAATCAAACGAAGAAAAAGATGGTTCAGGTATTTGGCCAATAAGTACCTTTAAAATATAAAATGACACCAACAATAAAAAGCTTTTGAGAAATAAAAATAAAAGCATTAATTTGGGCATAATGCGCCTTTAAGTTATGACAGAACAGAACAAGTGTATTCAAAAATAAGAAATTAAACTTACGTTCCTCTTCCATACACGCATGATCAATATATATGTATAAACATATAGCTATATAGTCCCAATTTAAAATATTAGACAAATAACTACAACAGTTGATGTTAAATAAATAAAGAAAATAAATCCTATTTCGTTACCTCCGCCTTGAATGGTAGTAAATAGTAGTAAATAGGCTACAAATACTTTCAATTGCATTTAAATGAGGGGCGTGGGTTTAAACCCCAATAGGATCAAATTTTCTTTCATCCACTTATTAAACATTATTTTTGTATCGTTCAAATCCATTTCTGAAAGCAAAAAAATAAGTTAATTATAATATTGATATAGGTATTTCTTGGGTAAAAATGCTATATTTAGGAAGTAATTGTTGTAGAATAATGCACGGTTTGTGTTCAAACGCGTTAAGTCTACCGTTTGCAAGAACATAATGGAATAATGAATTGTGATAAAAAATTGTGTGTGTTTATTTTATTTCACTTCATATTTTCAAGCGAAATGCAGAATATTTATAGAACCTCGTTACCACCCTAAAAAGTTACCATTGAGCTAGATATTCCCGTCTGTACCGGCAGCCATTGTAAGATTCTCGACAAATCGAGAGCTTTAAATGACGTCAATCGCGTGCGCCATATATGAATGAATTGCGTTCTTAGAATACGTCATTTTGCCGTCGTTTTGCGAATAAAGTTGTAAATTCATACGCTTCAATAAGAAAAAGTGCTAAATGAAAATATTAGTTTTCGTAATTTATTTCCGAAATATGCTTTCTATGTGATATGCAAGAAAAGGATCATACATCGGCTGCCATAACAGTCTGGCATATCTAGCTCTCTGCAGACCATCGTTACAGCTGTAAACAGTTACCCTCGGGCCCGATTATAAGACAGCCGATGTAAAATGACGTCATCCTAAGAACGCAATTCATTCCATTAATTCTAATTTTCACAACTGCGCAGATCTAAATGCGCTTCTCAAGGTACACAGTACATAGCTAACCATTCCTTCGATGCCATTTCACGCGCCCCCCCCCCCCCAAAAAAAAAAGTATCGCACGTATTAGCATAAAGTCGTTGCTATAAATGCATTCCTGTTCTAGAGTCAACCCAATTTATGTTATGTGTAACAAGGTCTCGTCAGATATTCGTTAAGAAAGATTACAATTAAATATTAAACAAAAAAGTAATTTAATATATCTGTCAAAAAATTTCTACATAAAACGCTTGGGTCATTGGAATAAAATAAAATAAAAATAATAATGATGATGATGATGATGATGAAGATGATGATGAGAATAATAATAATAATAATAATAATAATAATTATAATAATAATAAAATAATAATAATAAAAAGCTTAAAATTCGTACAAAATCTATCAAAATGGACTTACCTTTTAAACGTACAAGATCCGATGAAATAACACTGACTAAACATCAATGGGCAATAAAAAAATTGTGGATCTCATCCAAAAGCATCATCTGTAATCGACAAAAACAAAGACGTCAACTTTGTAAAGATCGTATCACCTTAGTCTGAATTTAACCGTGCAACGTACACATGTATCTGAAATATGATATTATTCTATGTTTTTTATTTAGACATTTAATAATGAACTTTTAGATCAACCGTAATCCACAATGATTTATCCTTCTTTTGTGATTGTTATAGTTGTATAATCTTATCAAGGTACAAGTCTTTCCACGATTTGAACTATTTAAAATACACATGTATTATATATTGTCAAATTCGTTCCTTTTAAAATATACTATGCTCAAATTTGATATTAGAAACCATTGATATTTGCTACACATCCTTTTTACAAATGTAAAATAAACATGTTTTGACTTCACCCAAAGTAGATATGTTTCTTTTTAAAATTTTACTCACTAAAGGTGGTCACAATATGAATATATATTGTCATTTTTTAAGAAAGCACCGACTTTACTTGTCATGTAATAAGGACCACAGCTTCACACACATAGTTTATTTTCCATTCTTTATTCAAATAAGACATATTCAGTAAAAATTCCTTAGCTGTCAAAAAAATTATGTGACTAAAATATTTTATTCAGAGTACGTACTGTAAATCACTTTATATGCGCGTGATCTTTATTTCGCGAAACCCCATCCCCGGATTATTTCGCGTATTCATGAATTCGCTATGGCAGGGTCAGAAATTTATATTTCCGATTGTTTAAGTTTATTTCTATACTGTGCCACACTTATTCAAGGTAAATGTTAATGATGTTTATAAGAGACGGTTTCTATTTATTTATGTTAAATACAAAATGTACCTACATAGTTTTTTTATTACTATGTACATGTAATTGACTTATTATGAACGGTTTTTCAAATTTTTGGTTTTTGTTTGCAAAAAGCGTGTTTGATAAAACGTTAAATGTTTGTAAGAAGGTGTAATGTACTTGTTTATAATACTTTATCTACCGTACGAACATCGTCCGTTGATCACTGTTTTATCGTAAATCTATTGTTATCTAAACACTTTGTGTTCACATTTGTCTGTAAAGTGCAATTGTGGATATTGTCGGAATATTATGTAAGCTTTTGTGCTTGATATTCATGAGGAAAAAGGGTAGGGAAAAATCTGTTGTTTAACTTTCATATATTTCATATTACGGAAGCGTCCTGGTGCCAATTCATAACGTTCTATAAAAACATAAACTCCTACGTAGGAGATAAAAAGCCTAATTAGGAGTTAATAACTCCAACGTAGGTCTATAAAAGACCTACGTAACTCCTACGTAGGACTTTGTAACTCCTACGTAGGACTATAACTCCTACGTAGGACTTTTTCAGTCCTACGTAAGACTTTGTAACTCCTACGTAGGAGATAAAAAAGCCTGATTAGGAGTCAATAACTCCTACGCAGGACTTTGTTACTCCTACGTAGGTCTTTATAACTCTTACGTAGGACTTTCTAAGTCCTTCGTAGGACATTGTAACTCCTACGTAGGAGATAAAAAAGCCTAATTAGGACATTATAACTCCTACGTAGGACTTTTAAACTCCTACGTAGGACTTTATAACTCCTACGTAGGACTTTATAAGTCCTACGTAGGACTTTATAACTCATACGTAGGACTTTATAAGTCCTACGTAGGACTTTATAACTCATACGTTGTACTTTTAAACTCCTACGTAGGACTTTATAACTCCTACATAGGATACATATCAAAGTACTGAAAGCACAGAGTTCGACGGACATGTATGCTAGAGTATAACTTAAAATAGCATATTATGTAGGAAAATAAGTTATATGTGTGAAGTTGTTATTGTGGCAAGCCGCTTTAGTAAATACCCTTAGTCTGTAGCCAGAGATGATTTTGTCATTCTCTGCATATATTAAACGATGATTCTGTATTATGTACGTTTAGTTATATTGATTATACTGATGCACAAAAAATGTATGGGTTAAACTTTGTTCAAAGAAGGATATACAATGTAATTCATTATTAAACATGATTATGCATGCATAATACTCCGCAAACTGTTTTCTTCTAAAACTTTAGGGAGCAGGAA